CAAAGTCTGCCTTAAATAAAACACTATTGAACACTGATTTGATTTGATGTTCAGGGAGAGACCTCATTTCAATTAGGAAGGCAAAGCGTCTCACTGTAACTCAAACTTTGTTGGAAACAGATGTGTGATGGTTGCATGACGTTCTCTATCAGATTTTGGGTGTTGGCACTATTGAGCAGCAACTTTTACTCATACATGCTTCAGGTCACAAAGCTTTATTGCACATCAGGGCACAAAAACCAATGCGCCAAAAGGTTTGCCCGAGGTTTTTACTGCTTCACAGAGTCGCTCCACTCAGCTGTTCGAATGGAAAGGAAACCAAGTGCTGTGAAGAATCCACTTCCCATGACATCATTGTGTTTGTTAAATGACCTCTGCGGGTATGTCAGACACACCTTCTCATTTCCTCCCCGAGCCTCTCAAATTATTTACTCAATTTACAGACGTCAGAAAAACAGTCGATGATTGCAAAAGCTGCCCTTGAAACATGAAATGGGATACTGAAAGCCAACAAATCTCACTTTTTAATCACAGAACTGGAGGTGCCAATTCAATGCTTGACACAACCGATTATTTGTGTGTGATCGTTTTTTTGTAACTTACACCAGCATAAACAACAAAAAATACATTTTTTTTCCTTCTTCTTGGCTAAACACCGTTTCCAATAACCATATGTTTTTGAAGTGAAATGTTTAAAATAAAATTAGACTTGGTTTTTAATATTTTTCACCACTTTAATTCCCAAAACTGTTTTGCAGGAATGACTGTTGATCAGAAGTGTTGACCTTTCTCCAAACATCCTTGTTTTGAGATGTTTGTTAATCAAGAGGTCACACAGTCGTCAGATTAAAACTCGGGTTGCTCCTCTTAAGGTTGCTGAGTCATTATCCTCTGCAGCTTAAAGTGACCCATTTTCAACCGTCTGATCGTCAAATATGGCGGCTGCATGACACAGTAACATACTTTTTCCAGATGTTTTTTTGTTATCAATCAAGGGACAAAGACAAAAATCAAAGACAGAGCAAATAAAACAACACAAAACGAAGCAGATTTTCCTTTTTTAATACCATCCTGACTTGTATTTTTTTTTCCTGTTAAAAAATACTTTCGCTGATATAATCAGATGCATTTCATCCATCTTTAAGCGCCTCTTGCTCTAACAAATGGAGAGGATTACGAAAACTAGGCTGACGCATTGACAATGTATGCAACCTTCTCGACTTTTGCAACAGGCGTGCGTCAGAAGAGTCAAGACCAATCACAGTCCTGGAAAAAGGACAAACAAACTGCCTGAAAAAAAAAAGTCAAACAACTGGTCCTGATTTCTCCACGCACATATGGACGTAATCATTCTAGTTTGATGGAACTGACAGCTGGGTGTTAACTTTCCTTATTTTTTCTGACGTCCTTTTCCTCTTCTGTCGCTGACCACAAACTTCAAACTGGAGAAACGAGGATTCAGACGTGGTGTAGCGGTGAATAAAATGGTGAAATATCTGCTCTCCAACTGTTGCAACATTTTAACATATAGTTCCAATATAGAGTATAAAACAGATGCTGCACAAAGTGTTTCTGGCTATTGCTATTTTTTTTTTAGCAATTAGCATGTTAGCCTTTTTACATACAGTATGCATATAATTTAAAGTGCCAATGTGGATATACTTTTATGATATCAATTGCAGTGAAACACAAAATGAATTAAAAATAGAACACTTACAAAACACAACTCTTTGTTTTATTCTTTAGCTAAATACATTTTTCATATGAATAACTGGCAACACAGTCTGCTGAAAAGCTTTGCCAAAAATCTCCTGAGTGTTAGTTTTCATTTCCCATCTCCATCTCCTGATATCCTCAAAATGTTTGTCTTCCCTCTGAGAATACCTCGCCTGACCTCACGCTTTGGCCTTTTGTTGGAACGGATCTTGTCGACACAATATTTGTTCCTCCTCCAGCGACAGGGCAGAATAATGTTCACAATCAGGCAACCTGAGCCCGGTTTAACAAAACAAACCTTTTAGGGGGGGGAACAAATAGTTTCTCACTATAGTTCCAGTTCATTGAAGAAAATGTCATTTTTAATCCAGTCAGCTGGTCAGAAGCTGTCAGGTCAGCTCTGTTTCAGCCTGTTTACGCTCCGTCCTCACAGCTGTCTCATTAGACGGAACTGACAGGACCTGGTTCCCTGTAATGCTGAGCTTGTTATCTTTAATTGTGTTAAATTTGAAAAAGAACAGCGGCATTGTTAAGCTTTCCCTTTGTACTTAAAGGAGCAAAATTTAAGGCATCTACTAACTAAAGCCAACGGAAACATGCTATGTTCTAAGTTGGATTGTTTTAGTTTTGACCAGAGAAGGGAGGCGGTTTTAAGACACCCCCATACGGCCGTTTTGGATGCCCCTCGTTTTGCAAACGGCAAACCAACAGGTGCTACAAAATCGAATCAGGCAAGAGAACTGGTTCAGATATAAGTGACACTACTCGACCTAAAAAGCCTTGGCATCTTTCTGATATACCGTACTTGGGGTGGGTGTGGTTCAGTTAGAGTCGGTCGTCTCTCAACAGGAACGTCGGGGGTTCAATCCCCGGCTCCTGCAGCCACATGTCCGATGTGTCCTTGGGGAAGGAGGACACTTAGGCCCATGTGGTTCCTGCTGCTTCGTTGTCGGCATATGAATGTGTGTGAATGGGATTAGTTACTTCTGATGGTCACTTTCCAGAGAAACTTCAACCATCAGGGTGTGAATGTGTTGGTGTGACCTGCTGTGTAAAAGAGCTTTGAATTTCTGTCTTCATCCTATACGACCATCTGTTATAACTTCACTAGTCTTCTCCCTTATCTTACCCCCCGCGGTCCTTTTCTGATGGGCCATCTTTGCCTCATTCATCATCCATGTTCTCTTTGTTTTCCCAATTTTCATGTTTTTATTTCTTTTCTATGATTTGATATTTTCCTGGTGTTCTTTCCTTCTGGATACCATTTTTACATTCACATGTTCTTTTTGTCTCCTCGTTATAGATTTGATTCCATGCTTCCTTTCTTTCTTTTTTCAACAATCATTTCCAGATATCCATCTTTGTTTGCTTATTTCTTCTGGTCTTTACCGTGCTCCTTTTTTTGTTTTTGCTTTCTGTATTATTTCTCTTTTGTCCTTCTTAAACCACCATCTTTGTTTCTTCTTTCTTCTCCCTTGCTCCTCTGTTAAAGTTTGGATTTGTTTCTTCACTCTCCTTACTATATTACCATTGTTCTTCCTCCCTTTCCTCTGGCCCCTTATTATTTTCTCTTTATTCCCTCCTTCTGTCAAAGCTTTCCTTACTTCATTCCTTGTCTCAATCCCCTTGGTCCTTATCTGATCTGCAAATCCATCAAACTGGACTGACCCAACAATAATCCCATCACAGCTTTGACTGTTGATATTGTAAGACTACTTAACAGTTTAAATGTGACTCGAGTTGTTGTACTTTAGTTCAGTACCTGTTATGGATATGCATCCTTCTTGTTTATTGATAAACTCACCCGGCAGCGTGGCTCAGCGTGGAATGACAACCACGTGAAGCACAAAGTGACGCACGCAGCCCTCGCAGTGTGTAAAGAGGCTAAAGACGCTGGCGGAGAACACCTGTCAAACTTCATATCAAGTCACCCGTTTTTCCAGCTTCAGTCTGCCTCCCTCTAACCCGAGACGGCAGGCAGGAGACGCCTCGCGGTGTCACATATCCCATAAAAAGTGCTCCTGATCTGATCTCGGCCTGTAGCTGATGCCGTGTGTTGGTGGTGATCTCCCAAAAGTGTGTTGGAGGTTCTCCTCTGACGCAAAAGAAAACCATTTAGTTGTAGTGTCTGGTGTCACATAGCAACGCAAATGCTGCCTATAAATACACTTCCACGTCCAGACTATTTTAAAACCCAACAGGGTCAAACAGGAGAGTTCAACTTCCTTTTACCACAGAGAATTTATATCCTGAAATGTTGAATTATGCGGATGACCTGGCAGAGGAACGAGCTGATAATGGTTTAGACTAAACACTATACAAACATGATGAGGTACGGCCAAAAAGGGTAAAAAAATAACAACAGATTAGGAAAATGAACCAACTGGAAATAGATGGTAAAAGTGTCAATTCAGCCAAACTACAAGACGGAAAAAAACATGATCTTCTGACTTGCATTAAGCGTTGTTAAACATTTGCAATTGGTTCAATTTTTAGACGTAAAAATGTCTTCATGTTCTTTTCTTAGAATTCAATCCAGTAACTTCTCATGACTTTTATCAGGGGGAATTGTAAAAAAAACTGGTTTCTGTTTTGCCTGTCTTAAGAGTTATCACGTTGCCTTAATTCTGATGATGTTTGGGTTCTGGTTTGGATGTTAGTTTTTGATTTGGGCTTCTTTACGGTTGGGGTTTTCTGTTGTTGTTGGTTGGGTGTCTCATCAGTGGGTTGATTTGTTGTCGTGGTCTGTTTTTAAAAGTTCTATACAAATAGTTATTGTTATTATTACTAATTTCATTCACTGATGGAAAACTCAGAAGATATAGATTTGAAAAAAATATATATTTATCTTACTTAAATTGTTATGTTGAAGTTAATTCTGAAAAAAAAAAACCCCGGCAAAGTCAAGTAATTCCAGGTCTTGACATTAAAACATCAGCTCAATAAAGTTCTGACTTGACTGATGGCACATCTGGAGTTACATTGAGTATAGCTTGGGAAACCAACACTTTGTCTTAGAACAGATTTTTTTACATTTTCAAGTGGAGCTTTGTGCTAGCTGTTTCTTGTTTGCAGCCATATTCTTTTAATGAGGTCTTGATAGCATGCTGTTTTACCATCGTTGTATTTGTACGATGACCTTAAGTGTGTTCTTACAGTCACCCTTCAACAAGTGTATTATATCTTTTTATCATTAATGCTAAGCTAGGCTAACCTCATCCTGTAGGCTGTAAACACCGACAGAAACCTTCCAACAATTGGTCATCATTGGGCTCTAAGAAGTATTACATGTGTATCAATGAGTTTATTGAACCTCATGACGTCCTGGTAACAGTTGATACATGCAAGCAATAACAAAAAAAACAAAGAATACTACATTTTTTTACAATATATTTTTTACAGTATGGACATAATGTTATAGCCTGATAAAAAGATTAGTGTTAAGATGTTTAAAATATGCCAAAACTAGCAAAAAATAGTACAATCCTTGATATATTACTTATTTAATTTTGTGAATATAGGTCGTTAACGACTGATTAGGATGATAATGTAGAATCAAAGTGCTGTAGGATGAAGTATACTATCCTGTGTCCCCTCAATCTGACACAATACATCGGCAGGTTTTGAACACAGGCCACATTAGTACCGTATTTCCAGTTAAGGCAGGTCATAATAATTCCCTGTGAGATTACACTTTATGAACAGAGCTACGTCTGAGTTGAAGCGAAGGAAAAAGGCATGAATCATTGTCCTGGATTCTTAAACCACCATCCCTCCCATTACAATCAAAGCTGCTGTAAACAACAGCAGATTAATGAGAGACTTCCTCTCTGTCGCTTCAGTGGTTATTCATCTTAATTGTGATACATTCCTCCTGGCTGCGTTCCCGGCCCGCCAGATGCTCGATGTCTGTTTGACAAATAAACCCCTTAAAATGTCTTCAAAGCTCCGAGTTCCAGGCTTTGGGATTTTGCAGCTTTAAAAAAAAAAAAAATCCAACATCTGTCCACAGCTGGTTCTCCAAATCAATCTAAAAAAAAAATACAAAATCAGGCCTTTTTTTTTCCAAAACAGAAAACCTGCTGATGTGTTCAAGTTCAAGTTCAAGCGAAAATACTCCTGTGGTTTGCCACCAGAGCTGTTTGGCTCTCCCGTCGGCGCTCCTTCTTCCGCTCCATTCTGATCTTCCAGCAGACGACGCTGGAAGCCAGTAGCACCAGTCCGGCCGACAGGAGCACCAGCCCGAAGTAAGAGATGGTGGACCCGTGCGAGTTGAAGCTGTACGCCACGGCGGTGACCACGATGCCGGCGATGAGCACCACCACGCCGAATGGGACGGTGCAGCGATAGCAGGAAAGCTCCGCCCCGCCTGTGGCCGCGGTCAGCTCGACCTCATTGACCAGGGGGATGTTCACAATGGTCACGTTCCGGGGGGCTACGGGAGACTCGTTGTTGTTGGTCTTCTCTAGGGTCGCTGGCGTTCTCATGGCGTCCTTGTTAGCTTCTTCTGGCATCGCAGGGTTGAGAAGCCTTCTGTCGACCAACCGCAGACGGGTCCTCGTTTGTTGTTTTCACCTGTTCTCGCTAAGGTGTTCCTGTCTGCTGTGAAGACAGAAAAGCATTTATTGAAGGGACATTCTTACACTCAAGTCTAAAGCAGTTTTCATATATGCTCTCCTGAAAATGTTTAGAGACTTCCAAGAGGACTGTCCCTAAAATCCTCCTGATCTGGTTGTTCACACATGCACCTCACAGTTAGGGTTAGGGTGTGAAGAACAACTTGGAAAATTTCAGGGGCAGGCTGTCCCAGTCAGGAGATATGTAAAAACAGCTTAAAGGCTTTATATGTGATTTTTTTTGATCCAGTAGATGTCGCCCTTGAGCACCAGCATGAAACCAAAACAACTCGCGCTGCATTGTTGTGTTAGCATGCTAATGCTAGCGATCTTTATTATGCTGGTATCTTCACACTGCATGTAAATTTACCTGAAATGAGCGTGATCTAGAAACACAGTTAAGCAGTGAGTACAGTATGTTATTCTTCTTTTCTCTAGTCCCTCAATTAAACAACTTTTATACGTGAGGGGAGGAGTCAGCCGGCCGTCCTGGCGATGTAAACAAAGTGAAGATAGGACTCTGAAAACATCACAGACAGTGGGACTCGGGTGTTACACCCATTGTAGACAGTCATGACTCAGAGTTATTTTCAGAGGATATACTTGATTTATATTATATTTAAGTGTGAAAAATCAAATATAAAGCCTTTAAGAAAGTTCACTTATTGAAACAAAGGCAGACAAGCAACAACTTCTTTCAATGAGATGAAATTTCTGTTATTTTTCAATGGAGTCAGGTGGCTTTGAGGAAAGCGATGTTAACAGCTTACCCTCAAACAGTAATGTCTAATTTTGTAGCAGTCATGACTGTAATGTTGTCAGAAAGTTTCAATACCAACCTGAGCCTGTCAGTGGAATCAACAAGAACTTTCAGTGGACTCATTTGCCCAGAAAGATTGTGTTGCAGCCAGTGCAGCCTGTTGTGAACCGGCTGGAGCAACTCCAAGATATTTTGTACTGATTAGTCATTTACAGTAGGCTGAATAATCTTTACAAGTATAGTCAAGGTTTGGGGCGCTGGTGGCGCAGTGGTTAGAGCGTGCGCCCCGTGTATAGAGGCTGTAGTCCTCCAAGCGGGCAGCCCGGGGTTCAAATCCGACCTGTGGCTCCTTTCCCGCATGTCATTCCCTACTCTCTCTCTCCCTGATTTCCAACTCTATCCACTCTCCTATCTCTCATATAAAGGCACAAAATGCCCCCCAAAAATGTTGTATGGTCAAGGTTTGGTGCTCAGATGGCCTAGTGGTTAGGCCGTTTTTTCAGGGAGCTTTAGTCCTCCAAGCAGGCCTCAGCCGGGACTTGAACTATGGCGGTTCAAGTCCCAGCTGTGGCTCCTTTCCCCGCATGTCAATCCCTCACTCTCTCCCATTTCCTTCTCTATCCACTGTCCTGTCAAATAAAGGCAAGAAGCCCAAAAAAACATCTTTGAAAAACAACTGCGGCCAAGGTTCAACAAAAAGAATTGAGGCAGCTGTGGGTTAAAGCTGCGGTCCGGAGCTTGACTCAGCGCTCCACGAGAGAAAACGCCTGACTCTGCAGATGCTTTTTGTCAGAAATCAACACCACATTTCACAATTCCAACAACACTCTTGGAGCAACACACGCTGCTTTTGCTTTAAAGTAACCCCTGCTCGGCTCAACCCCAGCCGCCTCCTGACCCCGTCGGAGGAGCCGTCTGAATGACGCAGGAGCGCCGGGCCCAGCACGAGCTGAGACATTCCCTGGAGAGCGCAGGATATGACATTACAAACTGCTCCGTGAAACGCGAGGAGCCTCAAAATCAACGGCAATTTCACAAGCACGCATTCTTCGCCCTCCGTCACGTCTGCTGCGGGGAAAGCTGGGATACGGAGTCTGAGGAGAAAAATAAACTACTTTCAATCACTGTCAGGGGTTTGAAAAACAGGAAAGTATTCACTTTTCCTCCCCCAGGACTGATGTTGTACTCGCTGCATATTGGGAAAGACTTCAGAGTGTAGATTCTCCCCCTTAAAAACTAACACATGATTGGTTGTTTAATCCGCTGATTCCAATCACAAAACATTCCTCAGCCCCCTCCCAACTTTTATTTCTGCCCAACAATGAAGTTCACCAATTAACTGCAGGCTCAACAACTGTGAGAGTTTGATACTTTTTTTTGTCATAAAGAACTGTAAATGTTTCCTCTTTAAGTTTCAGACTGAATAAAATATGCATTTTAGGTCCAACTTTTTTGGTTAGTGAACAATTATACTTCCACTATTTTTGGAAAATGAATAACAAAGACCAAACATTGATTGTTAGTAGTCCACTCATTTAGACAGCAAGTGGCTGAAGAAGGGGAAACAAGGGAGACTTCCTTCAATCCAAACAGAGATTACGCTCTTTCTGTTTAATCTTTTCTTTTGCTTTTTAAGAATGTTAAAGTAAAAAATCAGAGGAGACTCGGCGTATCTTCTATGTTTACATTTTCAGTGATTCACAAATATTCTCAAAAACTTTCCAAAATCAATACACATTTATTTTTTATTTATTTGTTTTGCTTTTATTACAAAAGGGTGGGCTTATAAAACTATAAATGTTTTGGGTTAGTCTGTTTGAGTTGAATTATCATGAAAAACTACAGGGAACCCCCCTTGAAGACCCCCCGGAAAAAACTTTAACCCTAACCCTATCCACTTTGAGAACCAGTGTTTTCAGGGGACAGCTTTAGATTTGGAAGATGCTTCTTGTTACTATGGTAACCTCAGTTTTACATTCGGAAAAGATGCTTGTTGTTGCTATGGTAACCTCAGCTTTACATCTGGAAGATACCTGTGGTTACTATGGTAACCTTTGCATATGAAAATTGTTTTCTGTTTGTGAGTAAAAGAAAAGGACGTTAAGTCAAAGCAGAGAGAGTGAGAACTTCATGGTTGTAAACAGTTTTCAATATACTTTGATATTTTTTAGAAACCACATCTTTTAAAAGGATTAAATGATATCGGCCGATTGTTTTAATGATAAAAACGTGCCAACGACTCTTCAGTCATATTTTTGCCACAAGCAAAAAAGAAGGCACCACCTAACTTTCTCAAATAATTTGACAACTAGGGTACTAATGAAAGAGTTTGCTTGCAATTTTTAGCAATCAAGTAATTAAAAAACATGTTTGCTGGTGCCCAATATCAGGTGCTGCAGATGTTTGCTGGTGTCATATCGAAACAGGTAACCTATCTGCCTTTTTTATTTATATGGTTCGATTTGAACTGGCACCATATCAAAGTTTAAAATGATGGTATTCAGCCTCTATTGGTTATTTTTGACAAGCTATTAATTAAAAAATAACTGAAGAAATAAGTGGAATTTTTGTCTTGAAAGAGAGGCATCTGGGTTTTAAAAAAGTAAAACAGCAAAATAAAAAGATAGTTGAAGTATTTGAAAGTGTAACCTAAGACCACTTATTAAGGGTTTTACTGTTTGGACAGGTGTGTAGAGAACATTTTGGGTTGTAGCTTAATTATGGTTGCTGTTGCTGTAAAATTAGTTTTTATTTGTAAACACACTCCTCCATGTAAACTGAATTTAAAAAAGCAGGACAAAGTGATGAGTCCCTTTAATACCGAGCCTCTTATTTGTTCATGCTCGACTGAAGCTCCACACAGAAGAAAGCAGAAGAAGTTCTTTACCTCACAGCTGAAGGTCTCCATGTCGCTCCTCTGCTGCAGGGAAACTTTGTCTCAGTCAGAGTAAAAAACATTCAAAACATTCATTTGATGAGAAGTGAAAGTTGTTTTCTTCTCCTGAGTTCAGCTCGACCGAACAAACTGCGTCTCTGTGCCGGACTGGAACCTGACTCCCATCCGTCCCCCTGTTCAGTGCTCAGGTTCAGGACTGCGGGTCGGACTGCCATCCCCATTGAGAACAACTATTTCAAGTATCGATGACTGGAAGGTGAAGCCAGAAACAACAAGACAAAATACCTTTTCCGGAAGCACATTTCAAAATAAAGCTAGTTTTGCTGCAATAAGGCTATTTTGATTTCAATATATATATATTTTTTTAACGACTGGTGGTAAATTATTTGCATAACTTAGAAATAAGTTGAATAATCTATTGTATTATATCATACCATATTTTACTATATAGTATGCCTTCTATGTTATTGTATAGTTATAGCCTAAAAATATTTGGTAGGCTATATTATATATATCAGGTTATATAAAATTATAAAAAGGTATAAGCTATTCATTTATGTATTACATTATTTCAAATGGCACTTCAGTTTGCTACTCTGAATTGCCTTTAATTTGTAGAAAATGTAATTTAATATACATTATTACACTTTTTTATAAGCATATTATATTTTATTATTTTACATTTTCTTCTTATTGTTTCTAATTGTTTATATTTCCCAGTTGTGCTCAAAAATTTGCACTTAAGAAGGCCTCATCAACTTTAAAAAAACAAAACAAATTTAAGACACAATTAAGATAAAAAAATGTATATATGTAAACATGCTTTATTTATTTGTTGTCCTCTTAACCCCTCTTAAGTTTATTTTCTGTCTTAATCCTCAAGCTAATACTAAAATAATAATTACATTTCCTCTATTGTCCAATCTTTTATGCTGAAGGTTACGACCGGAAACCCTGAGTGTTGTGTGTGTGTGTGTGTGTGTGTGTGTGTGTGTGTGTGTGTGTGTGTGTGTGTGTGTGTGTGTGTGTGTGTGTGTGTGTGTGTGGTTGGTGCGGCAGAGCTGTCATGTCGCTGCAGTTTACAGATGCGGAGTTTCAGAGCGCGTGGAGGGAGCTGGATGAGCCGCAGCTGGAGGGAGGATGGGAGCTTTTCACGGAGACCATGGGAGTGAAAATCTACCGGCTTTATGACAAGGTAGCGAAATACAACAAAAGTGCTGATTTGACAAACGGAATACGGCTGCTGCTGAATGAATGCGTCTGTGGCGTCAGGGGGGGTCCCGTGCGGAACCTGTTCATCAGCTGTTTACAATAATAATCTAATAATCTTTGTTGTAATTCACTGATTTGCGTAGTAAGCAAAAACATTAGCAGTTATGTCCTAGGGGCCAACATGAGAAATACCCGGAAATTGAGGGAGAGTTGTTGCACTCGGAAAACTGACTGAACCGTCCAACCAAACTCCTTTTAAAAATGTGTTATTTTAACTTTGCCACATATTTTGACACTTTTTAATCACTTGTAAAAACCGATATAACACATTTTTAAAATCAGACAGAGCCAGTCTTCAACTCGGCATAACCCTGACACATCAGGATAACAGATATTAATTCATTTTTACACAGAAAGTGTAAGGTTTCATGCTTCATACTTTTGCCTGTTATTGAACAAATAGTCATTGAAATATAAAACGATTTTTTTATGATAGAAGATATTTTTGGGGAATTAAGTCAGCGACATATCTGGATTCTTAACAACAACTCAGTGTCTTCTTTATTAAATAAGGTTTTTAATTTGATGAATCTACAAACATTAAATTACTTTAGGAAAGTCGTTTAAGAAACCTTTGTCATGTCATGAAGTATTGTGATTGGACACATTAAGTCTTTATGCACATGTGCAAAATTCCCAACAAAACCTGCGAGTAGGTGTTCACTTTGTCAGGTTTTATGGCATTCCAGTGTGAGTAAATAGTCCTCAGACCTGTTTTTCTTCATTTGATTTAAATCCAACACTCTTCCTTGGTCGTCAGCGGGAGAAAGAATGAACCACAGGCCGCTTCTAATCAGAGTTGTGTGGTTTGGGATTAGTCACATACTGTGGGTGCGGTATGTTGTTGGCCTGCATTTTCAATGGGGAAACTTTCATGTGCTGTGTTTCAGGAAACTGGACTTTATGAGTACAAAGTCTTTGGTGTGCTTAACACCTGCTCCCCAGAGCTGTGCGCAGATGTCTACATGGACCTGATGTATCGGAAGAAATGGGATGGATATGTGAAAGGTAAGAAAATGAAGGTTCACGTTATAATTACCACTTTCATCCAACTCTCCTTCATCTTTCCTGCTCCATTATTTGAATTCACCCTGAATAAATGTTCATTTTACTTTGGCTGGAGCTTGTGTTGTAGTCAAGACCACACTAACCGAGACCAGAGTGGTTAAAGACCGAGACAAGACCAAGACATTTAGGGATCGAGACTGAGACAAGACCAAGACCGAGACCGAGACCGAGACCAAGGATGAGACCAAGACCAAGACCAAAACCAAGGACGAGACCGAGACAAGACCAAGACATTTAGGGATCGAGAAAGAGTCAAGACCAAGACATACTCCAGACCAGAGTGTTTAGAGATCGAGACCAGACTAAGGCTAGAGGTGGGCGATATGGGAAAAATATCATATCTCAACTTTTTTTTGGCAAAATCACAATCACGCTTTTATCATGATTTTTTTCATACTGTTCTTCAGACAAATTTGTAAGTTACTGACCAGTTCAACCAAACTTATTTCCCTGAATAATGTTTTTAAATGCACAAAAACTGCACTGACAAGTTTAATCTATTTTAAAAACATCTTTGTAGGAGGTCTGGAGGTCTCTCACCCAGAACATCTTTAGCAACAGAAATGTCGTTCCCTCAATTTGATCAATATTTATGAACAATTTGAAGGTTTTCCTCACCACTTCGAAATTATAATTTAGTTATGTGTCCTCTTTTTGTTCATCAGGAACATTTTCACGCAGTGATGCATTCATTTAAAAACATGTAGACTTGAGTTCTTGTGTTTCTGTTCTATTTTAGCCCTGCAGAGTTCCTCCAGCTGGAGCTTCATACAGGCTCTGCAGCATTTGTTTTTGTTTTTATGACATCATTGGACTAACTTTAGTTTAGTTTATATATAATCAAACATAATACAGAATGTGTTCATTCTGTGACACATGATCAAAGTAAGTTTTACTGACAGAAGAGTTTAATTCATAGAGGGGGCGGGACATTGTTGATTGACAGACAGACAGTCACCATGGTTACTCACTCTCACCTGCCTGCTGCTTTGTAACGTCGTTTAGTGTAATCCCTATAGGTTCAGTTATCACAACAGGTGAGCTTCAGGTGGAGAAGCTTGATAATAACTTTTAAAAACTGAGAGAGAGCAGAAAACACCGACAGCAACATTTTAAACACCGGGGTTATATCTTCACTGACTGTCTGAGCTCTGCTCTGTCTGTCTGACTGTTAACGTCTCTCTGTGTCGCTATCTGAGATGTAGGCTAATCTTAACTGTGCACACTATGCAGACAAGTTAACTGTTGCTCATGCCGTGTCGGTTTGGAAAAATATCAGAACAGTTGCATATAACCGAGAGGGAGTTGTTTTTGCGGACTTTACTTTTAAGGTTCGTTTTTCACCACTGCGGAGCAGAAGGGGAGGGGGTGAGACGCGTCTGTGTCGGAGCATAAACTGCAGAATGATAGAATAAACACATAAGCCCGGTTCTATGATCTCTCTGCTTTGGCAGATCGTCAGCAAGTTAAAATCCTTCACGATCTAAGATCGTTATATCGCCCACCACTAACCAAGGCCAAGGCAGTTTGAGACCAAGACAAGACATTTAGGGATTGAGACAGAGTCAAGACCAAGGCCAAGGCAGGGGGAGACCGAGACAAGACCATGACCATAAATGTCACTGAAAATCACCATCTTGTGTGCATGGGGCTTATCACTCATTTAGACTGTATCACCAGGAAGGTTGCGGCCGTAACCGTGGGATAAAAGTGCTGGTCTTGACCGGTCTTGATTTAAAATCCGGAGTCTACCCAGTTTGAGACCAAGACAGGACCAAGTCAAAATGCTTTCGATTCCGAGACGAGACAGAGACCTTCAAAAAGTGGTTTCAAGATCGGGTTTCGAAACCAAGACTGACCTGGAGTACTACAACACTAGCTGTGGCGCACTGTTTACATTTGCTTCCCTCTACACCCTCTCGTCCCGTTAGAGTGCTCTTTATTTAAGTATGCTCTGAAGTAACCTTTTCCTTTTCCATTCTTGTCTTGATGCACCTCTACAGTAGCCTAAAGGTAACATGTTGTAGCTGTAGTCATCAGTCTCACTGTATTGTAGCGCCCTGGTCCATTGGAAACAAAACCTCAGCTTGAATCACAAATAGTAGGTATCATTTTAGATGTTACACCTGATTTTTGTAGTAGTGAAAGTAGTTTTCCCAGACCTTCATAGGGTGTTGTTTCAGTAAGTGTTGTTGCCTTTGGTGGTAGCAGTGTCTGTGTTTTTGTAGTGGTTTCTGATTGAGAATATGTGTAGAGCTGTTGCAGAGGGGCGGTTATACACATATGTAGGTGCAGCAGCGAGAAAAAGAAGGCAAGTCCACTCACTCAGTGCCACAGAAGAGCTTATGAAATCACAACGTTTCAACCCAGATGGTGGTCACACAAATATATAAATCATTCAGTCAGTCTTTATTTGTACAGCACCAATTCATACCAAATATGGTATACATAATAAATAGAACTACAGGTGTTTGCAGTCCACATTTGACAGAATATCATAAATGATTACAAAATCACTGAATAGTCCATCATTTCTGAAAGTATTATACATTCAGTAACCTCCATTGTATTTGTTTTTATTAATGTATATCTTATTTTTTTTCTACTCAGAGCTCTATGAGAAAGACTTCAGTGGACAGAATGCGATCTACTGGGAAGTGATTTACCCATTCCCTCTGTCAAACAGAGATGTATCCTTTATTTCCATTTCCCAATTTGCATTATGCATGGTTCTTGGAGGTGGGTGGGTGGGGGGGACTTTCACAGAGTGTCTTCCCTGACTGCCCAAACCTCAGTATGTGTACATCAGGGAGCGCAGAGATCTGGAGGTGGACAGCAGGAAGATCTCGGTGATCCTGGCCAGAAGTTCTCCAGAGACAGCGTGCGAAGAGAAGAGAGGAGTCCTGCGAGTCAAAGACTACAAGCAGAGCGTCGCCATGGAGAGCGATGGAGCCGGTGGAACTAAAGGTAACACCTGAAGAATCAAACGATAGTAATGCTGATTTTTTTTCAATGTATATAAATCATCCTCATGTGTTTTATTATTCAAGTCCTTGGAGACACATTTAGAGAGACCCTAACTCACTATGTTGTGGAGGTACAGAAAACAATAAGTAATAAACTAATCAGAGGAGACAGCAAGAAAGATAAAGTTATCATGAACAAAACAAGAAAAATCCCAATATTTAAAGTCAAAAGTGCAAGAATTCACAAAATAACATGAAATATCTTTCCATGTAGCCTTAATATCAGTAATGAACGTTTGCTTTGTTTCAGTTTTCCTAAACTACTTCGACAACCCCGGGGGCATGATCCCTACCTGGCTGGTGAACTGGGCAGCTAAGGTGAGTCTATGCATTGTTTGCCAAAATAAAACATCAATACCATAACTTGAAAGTCAAAATAAGAAAAAGACAAACAAAAATGAACAAACAAACAAAAATTCAGTGGTCCTAATACTCTTCCTTGCAGTCCTAATAATATAAAATGTCGAGAGCAACCTCATGTTTTCAGACTTGTTTTATTAGAGGGAACATTTAATCTATTATTGACATGTGGAAGTCTCTGAGAAACCATTTTCCCACGAACACATCAAATGATTTAAATTGCATGCATGTTTCTGTAGACCTACTCAAACAGATCTTTGATGAGGGCGTTAAAAATCGTGTTAAAGGGTTCACTCTCAGGCCTCAGAGAGAGCTCCATCTCTCTGCCGGCTTTATGGTTTTTCCATCGTTATTGTTTGCAGATGTGTTGCAGGGTGATGTAAACATCTCTTCTCCTTGCTGCCTCACCTGGGTGGGTCCATGTCGCTCACTGATAGACAATCTTTGTGTGTGTGTGTCTGTGTTTTTTTTTTGTAACAGACTGGAGTTCCAGGTTTCTTAACAAACATGCAAAAGGCCTGCAGCAACTACAGCCAGTACTGCCAGGGGAAATGAGCAGAGCTAACAGGACGCTGGAACATGCACAAGGGCTTGATTTAGTTTTCCTTGTCTTACGTTTGGCAGGTATTTTAATGTTGAATGATTAAATGTGACCTTTCTTTATGGGGTAAATGTGACACTGTGTGGGCTGCGACTCGTCCTTGTAGCATGCTGTGGCCTCTTGACTCAGGCATGATTTGCATGACCGGCCACCCTCACTAACAGGCTGGAGGGAAGAAATCAATTGTGTGTATTGTCTTTTATGTGCAATCACTAGAATCTCAATAATAAGGAGCTTTTCTTAAAAAAAAACTATGCAAGCCCTGAAGGGCAAGTGAGAAAATTTAAAACACAAGCCTATTCAGGCTTCCGTTTCAAGGCATAATATTTAGGTCCCTGTGATGTTTTGCCTACAATCTGAATGTTGCAAAGGCATAACGGGGGGGGGGACCAAGTGACCTCACTCTGTACTGTCTTCAGAGGTAGTAACACAGGCACGACAGAGGTAAGATGGAATCAGCTTAGCCAGCGAGGGAGCGCAGAGTAGTGCCATCGTGGAATCAATTTGTAACTACAAAGATGTAATGACTGCGGAGCTTAGTTACAATGATTTAATTCCTCTGTTTGTGACTTAAGAAAAGGTAAAAAGAAATGCATTGCAAGCTTTATTATTCTAAGATTCCAGTTTAGACAATTTGTTTAAATTACTGTTTTTCTCTTTTTAACTGGGAAAATGTGTCAGCATGCCACAATCTTCTTTTTATGTCAGAGAAAACAGTCTTTTTTAGGCAGGTTAAAAAGTTTAAGAGGCTTGTAATTTTGTTTTTAAGGCTCAAAAAGTTAACACAAACCACTAACCTCCTACAATAATTTGTTAAACAAAATGTTTCAAGAACATTTTTTCACTTTTGATGACATCCAAAACAATGAAAAGAAAAAAATAGATTAGCAGACTTTTTTTAACCATTTACCCCTCAGGGCTTCCGTAGTTGGGTTTTTTTGTGTGCATAGGATTCAATTGTTTTACCTTGTTTGTAATCTGTCTGCTGTACATGTTAAATGTTATGGATGCAATATAACTTGATTTATGTCTTTAACTTCACACTGGGATTGTACCTTTTGTCCTCTTCAATTCACTCGAGCCACTCCTTTATTACGAGGAAGTGAACATGACAAATCTCTACTTTTAAAGGAGTGTTGCCTGTGAAGATTGTTGGGTGTTTTTTTTTCTATGCAGAGGATGTGTTATTATCCACTACGCTGGTTTATTGTGTGTACATGAAAGATACAATATGTGAGAAAATACTTTAGTGATTTAGGCTTTACTTCAATACCTCTGTATTTCAGGTGGATACAATTTGAACTTTTAATGAGCTCTATTACTGTGTAATACTGCTGAAATGAATAAAACTTTACTTTGAAAGTTCTTCCTGCACATGAATTATTCCATTGTCCCCTCATATACAATGATGCTTTTTTGACAAATGTTTGTTTTTCTAGCTAAAGACAAAACAGTCCATTATTAAATCCTGCCTTCATGAAGGTCATGATGTTCAAATTTAGTTTTTAAGATATTGATTTAATTTGAAAGATGTATTGTGGTATAGTTTGAGCTGTTTTGTAATTATTCAGTGAAGTATTACAGGGAATACTGTAATTTAACCTTCCCACATTGGAAAGAGTCAACTTTGAGCATCGGTCAAAAAATTGTTGTTTTTTATTGATTCGATATATTAGCATTTTAAATGACAGATATTTAAATTGAATTAGCAACACCAAAAATAATACCAAATGTTCCTGTTTATCTTCATATACCTACCTGAATTATAAATGCTGCAGCTCATGTGCATTAAACCTTTCATTAAGCACATTTCATTGTAAATAATAATAATAAAACCGGCTGAATTAGGCCTGTTATTAGCAGGTAGGCCGACTGCTTCATTCGCGCACAGGCACCTTTAAAGACAGCCTTTTTTTCGGGGGGCCTGACAGCTAAAGATATGCCAACCAGGAGGAGGTGCTGCTGCAGGTGAGGACACAATGTAGGCTGAAGCAACATTTATATATGTTTTATACATATATTTATATATCTTACGGGTCTTTTTTGTCCTGTATTTGGCCAAAGTTTTTTGTTGTGAGAGAGATATTTAACTGTAAGAGAGTATAACACTGTTAGTTTTAGGTTACTGGGGCAAAGCTAGTTTTAAAGGCTCCCAAAAGGAACTTTAGGGAGGCTAACTCCAGCTAGCAAACAGGTGTGCAGCTGTAACATGCTACTGTTAGCCAGACTTAGCTTAATGTGGCTGCCTGGATAATAAAACAGTCATTTTCTTGCTTCGTTTTGTCTAGCTAATAACTTTTCTTATTAACGGTTAAACTTTTTTGTAAAGATTTAACAAAAGCTACACTGAACATGATGTTCTGTGGTGGAAGGCGAGCTATCGGTTCATGGATTGGCAACATTATGCGGGAACGGAACCACAGGTTGGACTCGAACCCGGGCCACCCGCTTGGAGGACTGCAGCTTCTGTGCATGTGGCACACTTACAGCTAGATACTAACACCCCAAGATGAATTATTCTTTATTTAGGTAATGATTTGACTGAGCATCTTTCACTATTTGACCAGCAGTATCTATACTTAGACTCAAGTTATGAAGTTGTACTGTGTCCACCACTGGTATTTATTCATACTTTAAAATGCACTTTTATCAACATTTATCATTTTTTGTATGTATCTTAAGACGTTGAACATTACAGAGTTACAGTTGGACCCAAACCAAAGGCAGCTGCAGATGAATTTGTTCATCATGAGCTCTGATAGTTCAGTATGAAAGATGAGCTCTATAATAGAATAAAGAAGCTGAGTAGTTAAATCAGCACAGATGTGACCACCGTGATGACGGTTTTCTGTCCGCAGATGAGAAACATGGAAGCAGACAGAAGCTGGATCCTGCGAAGGTTGGAGTCGAGCGTTGCTTGGCGTGACTGCTGCAGCTGTTTGATGAGCCAGAAGTGAACTGATGACATATTCGAAAGGTTTGTACAACTTTTTGTAATACATGCAGAAAGATGAACAGAAAAGTCCCAGTCTTTAGACAAATGTCTCGTTTAAAAGACTTTGAGCTTTTAACCTGCTTTCTGGTGAGAAGGCAGACTCAGAGGGCAGAACAAACACCTAGCTGTGGGAGTGTCACCCACCTGGGGGAGGGGCTACTGCCCTTTGTGATGTCATGAAGGGAACATCTCCAAACGGTCTGTTCGAGCACACATTTTCTGAAAAGTGGAGCAGGCTAAAGACGGAGTGGTTGGACTTTTACTCATAATTGGGGGGTTTGTAGACGGACTAGGGACACATACTAGTGTCAGAAAAACATGGTGAAGTTTATTATGCATAATATGTGACCTTTAACTTGATCGGGTATCGTTAACATGATCTTTTCTGCTCTAGGATGGGAATAATTCATCAAGCTATCTATTTCAGTTGTAGTAGCAAGGATGACTCTGTCTTCTTTATCACTGATTAGTCTTAAATCTCTCAGCTTGGCTCTCCATTCAACTTTTTTTAGAGCTTCAATATTTCAGTATTTGATCTGCACAACATCAGAAATGTCACTTCCCCCTGGCTTTTTCTTTACCTATTTGTGTTTATTGGATCGAGCATCCGCTGAGGGATGTGCATGTCACCTTCCCCGGCTTAACTTGATATTTCAAACTGGATGTTGGCGTATTGGTCCAACCCAAAAAGCAAATCATTTCAGTTCTATGCACTTCAATTATAGAGTGACAAACCCGAACGTTTGAGCTGATATTGTTCAGTGTTTTAACTTTATGTAGCACTTCTGTTAATAACTGTTGATTGGTTAAAAACATCCAGGTAACATCACTTTGTGTAAAGCTTTTATTCATTATCGATCATAATCTGTAATCAATGCATTGTATTCATTTTCATCCGCTCAGTTGAAGCCCACTAGTTGCCGCCTCAGAGGGGCTTCTCAGTGGAAACAATGAATTGTGGGGTCATTTCCTCGTCGCCCTTATAATCCTCCTGATTACTCTCCTGCCACACTGATAAAAGAGAAAGCAGTGCGACACACCCACGCACGCCTGTCCGTTTTTTTTCTTCTCCCTCTGCTGATCGGTTGTTAAAGTTGTGAAGTGTCGGCGCAGATGTTTCCTGAGGGAAGAAGCTGGTCCCTGTTTTCCTGTGATGTCACGTTTCTGCTGGTGGTGTAGTGATGCTTTTGGAGACTGTTATCCTTTATTGCCCCACTTTACCATCTGTCCGCCATTATGCACCGACAAGATCTTCCCCATAGCTACATTTACAAGCAGTCTGTTATAATATAATCACTGCAAAGAGGTGGTTTTAATCCACAGAGAACCATTTTAACCTGATTGCTCTCCGGCTGCTTACCTTCTATAAATGCCCTCCATGTTTATACCAATAACTGGAGCCCTTATTTTCTCTTTTACAAAAAAATGGTGTGTTACAGTCAGGGTAAGGAGATTTTTTTTTACTCTTGAAGACACCAAGACAGAAATATCAGATCCCAAAATGGTAACAACACTGAGATAAATCCCTTTTGCAGATATTGTAAGGTGCATCCGATCACAACACTAGACAGTTTTAAGATCATTGAATGCGAGCAAACAGTTAAATATCTGTATATATACCACCATGGCTGCACACTGTAGTTCAGTGTTTGGATCAGGATTCATGTAGATCAAAAGATGAATGTTTCAGAGGAGGCAAACACTTTTTTGAAACATATTAAAAGCTGTGGGTCAAAATGCACAAATTTCATACTTAAATTTGAATGAGATTCTATGTAGGTTAGAAGAAATGCATTTTGTAGAAGTCCAGTATCTACAACTGTTTTTTGGAAAGATAATCTCTTTTGTTTGGGGGTTTAAATATCAGAGAAAAAACACAAAAATGGAAAGTGGAGAACTATGTAAATGGAAATATTGATAGAATAGAGCAAGTTGGGGCGCCGGTGGTGTAGTGGTTTGTGTGGGCGCCCAATGTGTGAAGGCTATAGTCATCAAGGAGGGGCGGCCGGGGTTTGAGTCCAGCCTGTGGCCCTTGTGGTCTTTCATGCATGTCCCTCCCTACTCCCTCTCTCTCTCTCGCTCCCTCTCTCTCTCTCTCTCTCTCTCTCTCTCTTTTGCTCCCTCTCTCTCTCTGTCTCTCGCTCGCTCGCTCCCTCTCTCTCTCTCTCTCTCTCTCTTTTGCTCCCTCTCTCTCTCTGTCTCTCGCTCGCTCCCTCCCTCTCTCTCTCTCTCTCTCTCTCTCTCTCTCTCTCTCTTTTGCTCCCTCTCTCTCTCTGTCTCTCGCTCGCTCCCTCCCTCTCTCTCTCTCTCTCTCTCTCTCTCTCTCTTTTGCTCCCTCTCTCTCTCTCTCTCTCTCGCTCCCTCTCGCTCTCTCTCTCGCTCCCTCTCTCTCTCTCGCTCCCTCTCTCTCTCTCGCTCCCTCTCTCTCTCTCTCTCTCGCTCCCTCTCTCTCTCTCGCTCCCTCTCTCTCTCTCTCTTGCTCTCTCTCTCTCTCCCTCTCTCTCTCTCGCTCCCTCTCTCTCTCTCGCTCCCTCTCTCTCGCTCTCTCTCTCTCTCTCTCTCTGATTTCTGGCTTTGTCCACTGTCCTATCTCTGCAATGGAGGAACATAAAGCCCCAAAAATACATCTTTTAGGAAAAAGAAAAAAACAAGTGTTCAGATAATGATGTTTTCTTTAGAGGCAGTATTATGCTTATGTTTTTTTTTGTTTTTTTTTATTGTTGTGAAGTTGGTACGGTTTAATATACAAATCAATACAGGAGCAGTCTGTTCTGAAAGAAGATGCATTTACACTGAACCTCATCCAGCTGAGAGCTCGGGCAGATGTTTGATGTTTTATCGCCCTCTGCTGGTGAAAGTAGAACATTGGTAGTTTAAAACGTTGCCCGTTTACTGTGAGCTCAAACTGCTGCACAGTTTTGAGTACATTTGAACTTTTTGAATGAATCTCTCTGGAATAACAGTGAAAGAAGCGTTATGTGGAGTTAAATAACAAACGCATTAACCTGTTTTTTTGACATCTATTTCTACTTGTTGTTTGGATGAAGCAAATTCATCTTATTAAAAAACAGCGTCAAACAGTTTCTCTACCATCTTCAGGTGTTGGAACTTCTTGTCCATTTTTTCTGTCGTTTTTTTTCTGATCTGTTCCAAAATGGTGCGATCTAGTTTCTCTTAAGACCTCATCCGTCTGTTTGGGAGACACCGTGGCAGCAGTGACACAAATCAGACGTCGGATCTGCACTTTAATGCAACATTGAATCCGCTGGAACGTCTTGGATGAACAACATTCGGCCCTCAAATCTTTCCACCGCCAGTCTCTCACAAATGGAGGACAAATATATTTCTTGGCCGGCCGTTGTGTTTGGGA